TCCCAAAGAGTGGGTCACAACTCACAATGGGATTGTAAACTCTGAGGTAGCTAATGGCTACTATGGAGCTGCAACTAAATTTTCAAAAATTCATCCATGGGATAAAGCAGCACTGACTGGATCAGCATTTATTGCTCATAATTGTGCAGCAGACAGTTAAGAGTTAGTCATACATTGCTTTAGGCTTGGAATCACATGTAGGCCAGATCAAACAAGTTTCCTTCTATAAAGGATGTTAGTGAACCAGATGGGTTTTTGCAACAATTGATATAGTCACCATTAGGCTAACTGTTTGTTCCAGATTTTTACCGAATTCCAATTTTTGCAATCTGTCATGGTGGGATTTGAACTCCTATCCCCAGAACATTAACCTGGGCTTCTGGATTATTTGTCCAGTGACATCATCTCTGTCATCCCAATACTGAGAGCTATATGGCTCCTTCTAAATCATCGGAGTATTTTCCAAGTTGGTGCCTAACCAGCCCTTTACAGAGGACTGAACTCTGTTGAAAATAGTGTCGAGATCCACGTGGTACTTCATGAAAACTTAAACTCTAAATGTAGTAACTCCACCCCGTCCTCCATACATTTTGCTCCTCTGGATCACAGCAATTTAAAAATGTCAAAATGGATTTGCACTGGGAAAATGTTTGGAAAGTGCTGCCATGTTTCCTTTAAAATATGTGAAACTTTCAGTTCTATGCTCCAATAGCCTTCTGCGCAGAGATTTCTTGTAACTTCTACCCTCACTTTTTTTATTGAGTATTTTAAATTGACAATCTTTTGTCACTGTTTTTCAACCAGAAGTGGTAGTCTTTCCTTTCTTAATTTCTTTGGGAGTTGAATGTAAATCTCCACGACACTGTAAGCAACCCAGGAGAAAAAGAAAATCCTTGGTGCATTTTTTTTAAAAAAAGTTTATTTTCTTTTGATCATTTCGGCTATTCACTCTAATAATGAGTTATGCTGATCATGATTGATGGTCAAGAATGATCTAAACATTTTTGAGTCCACTTATTTACCAACTGGTATGGAGAAGATCACGTGTCATGAACATTTAAAATGGTGGGCAACTTTTGGTGAAGAGCAGTTAGAATTGGGATCTCTGAAATGAAACCTCCAGGATATATCCAACCGTAGTTAACAATGCTCTCCTGATTTCAATGTGAAGGTGCTTGGAGTTGCTTTGTTTCTGGTCAAGTCGCTTCCTCACTGAACGTGTTGACTACCAGTACAGTGACTCGTGGTTAGCACTGCCGCACAGCGCCAGGAACCCAGGTTTGATTCCAGCCTTGGGTGACTGTGCAAACTCTACACAAACGTTCTCCCCGTGTCTGCGTGGGCTTTCTCTGGGTACTCTGGTTTCCTCCCACAGTCCAAAGATGTGCAAGTTAGGTGAATTTGCCATGCTAAATTGCCCATAGTGTCCAGGAAAGTGCAGGCTTGGTGGATTAGCTATGGGCAATGCAGGGTTACAGGGGTAGGGGTGTAGGTCTGGTTGGGATGTTCTTCAGAGGGTTGGTGTGGACTCCATGGGCCAAATGGCCTGCTTCCACACAGTCAGGATTATGTGATTCTATCAGATGTAAAACTATTTTACTGCTCTATCCAAATAGGGGACATTGTGATAATGGAGCCTCTGTCGCAATCCTATTGTTGAATTGAAGACTGTTCAAAGGCAGAACTGGCAACCCTTGATTGGTACTGCAGTTTACTGCAAGCAAAAATGTCAAATAAATGTGAAAAAATGCATTATCAATTTTGTTACTTTTAAGGGGGTAGAAAAACACCAATGTTATTTCCTGGAAGGGACATTCTGACTTTAGCTGGTCTGACCTGCATGTGATTCTAGACTCTGAATAATATGGTTGATTAACTGCCCTCCAGGGTGTTAGAGATGGGTAATCATGATGGCCTAACCAGCAATGCCCACATGAATGAATTTTTAAAAATTACATGTAAATTCATACTTTACATCTTAGGATTAATGACTGACTCAATGACTTCCAATTTAAATACAATATAACCCACAAAACCTAGTAAAGTTTTTTTTTTGTTCTTCGGCCATTTCCTAATGGTAGATAATGCCAAGTCATTTCTGTTGTTATGAACATCAATCTGTTTATAATTAATTGCATCCACTGCTATTCTAGTTTTTATTTCAGGAGTGTAAGTGGATTGGTAACTCCTTAGCTGTAACACAGGGCTTGGGTTAATGATTAGCTTTTCCTTAGTTTATTTAGCTTTCTTTCTGGATGGCTTTAGTGGCATTTTTTTTTAGATTTTAGTTTGTTTTGCGCAAATCAATGGAGTTTTTCTAAATTTGAAAATGTCGTACTTGGGAGAAACATTTCTCCCATTGTTTAATTGTATTTAGCAAGCTGAAATATTGCAGTCGCCAAACAGTTTGAGTCACAATAGGACACAGTGCTGTAAAGAGCCAGTTTAATGTGCTGATTCATCTGCTGGAGGGCTGGCCATGTGCCAAGACTTGGCATGTATATCAAAGGCACTGTGTTGAAAATCAGCTTTGGCATGAAATAATGTTGGTAAATTGTTCTATTGATCTGCATATAACTTTTTTTTTTAAATGTCATCTTAAACATAGTGCTGATTGGACACTAGTTCCAACCAGCTTTTTGTTTCTTTTCGCACTCTACTTTTTATTCCTGAAATTTGCTGTTCATTTTGAATTGTACCAAGCCAGCATTTTGGCATGATAATTAGCTGGCAGTGCATAGCTGAAGCTGCTTCAATTAACACCTTGCCACCAGTTAGTTTCCAAAAACCAGTAAGAGCCTTTAAGTATATTCAGTACCTTTTTTAACTTTTTGATAATTATTGTATGCCTCAATGATTTGGCTGTTCACCTCTCCAAATCCCACAACATTGGTGGTAAAGAAGACAGACAGAACTGGTGTTTTTGAAATTGTGAAATGATAACTATTTAACATGTTTAGGAGTTGGATGTTTTGATTAGTCTGCTGTATCTTTAACATTCAGTGAGAACTCACCTTTAGGAATGGCAGTTGAAATCTTTATTTGTAAACGGTTCTAATAATTCTCAGGCCTTCTGTGCAATGGAATATTGCTTTTGGGGTTAATTTTCTCAAATGTTGGATTTCCCTAAATGGTGGTCTGCTGGTTCAATCACTCAGTATTATGTTCTAAACTGTGTTGTGATTTGAATATTCCAGATTTGAGCCAGAAGCATCTGGGAAGTCTCTGTAGAAGTCTTATGGCCAATTACTATTGCTTGAGCAACTATGCTGATGGTACAGCACTATTATATGTTATTTGGGAGAGTTGTTTCTCTTAGAAAAACAAACACATTTCTGGAAAAGCTCAGCAGTTCTGGCAGCATCTATGGAGAGAAAGTGGAGTTAACGTTTCAGGTCCAGTGACCCTCCCTGAGGGTCTGAAGGTTCCTCACCTGAAGAAAGGTCACTGGACATGACACGTTAACTCTTCTTCTTTCTCTCCACAGATACTGCCAGACCTGTGGAGTTTCTGCAGTAATTTGTTTCTCTTTCTGATTCCCAGAATCTGCGCTTCTTTGTTTTTTTTTGTTAGTTTTTCTAACATGTTGGGTTGTTGTGGAACATGGTATGAAGGTGTTCAAAAAGTATTCAGCAATGGCCTTGTTTGTGATTGAGCCACTAGAACATAGATGCTGTGAGAGATGGCAAGATTGAGGTGTGACCATGAATATTGGTAGGAGAGTTTACACAGGGGAAAAAAATAGTTAAGGTAGGACAATGAATACTGGAGTGAAAGAAGGCAGCATTGGGGGTTGAAATAATTGTGGATGGAGAAGCTCCATGCCAGTACTTTTTTGGAGGGTGGTAGTGGAATATAGTGATGCAGGATTTTAGTGAATAGTAAAGAATGAGCATTTTAAAGGGAAGTCAAGAATGGTGATACAAAATGAAGCTCTCACAGGAGGAAATGGTGCCAGAAGCATAACAGACTGTGGTGAAGTTTGGTTGTAAAAGCCATGCTGCCACTCAGGCAGGGAGTTTTCACTAAGAGTCAAGACACCACTCATCATGGCCTTGACAGTTTATGCAGTCAGTACAAGCACCTGCAATTAAGCCATTCTTTCCAATGGCCTTGTTTATGCATTCTGGAGGAAGATCTGTTTGCCGGAGTCTGGGAGAAGTGAGTAGGTGTTTGTCAAAATTGAACTCAAAAGGTAAGCTAGGCAAAAACTATGGTGAGCAAAGAATGAGATTGCTATTTACAAGGTAGTGATGGTGCCTTGGTGTGTTCTTCTAAAGATGCTGAGAAAGGGAAACTGAATTGAGTTGAATTGAACTGAATCACTTTATTAATTGAATAATGAATGATTGAATCATTCATTGTCATTCATTATTCAATGTAAAAATACAGTGAAAAGTGTGTACCTTTGCTGTACATACATGGTGCCATTCACATTATCTTAGAATAAGATTTTAAAAAAAGTGTCCACCTTTCCTTTCCACTGCTGCAGTTCCGCTCCGTGCTTTCCAGCCCACTCCATGCCACGTTCATTTGAGAGGAATTCAGACCAAACCTGGGGTGATGACTGCGGAATTGCAATGTCAAAAAATATTGTGGAGGGTTGAAGCAGGAATTTGGGATGGCACAGCTTGGGAGACGAGAAATGGAAGGTAGCTTGACTGGGTGATGGGAAAACAGCAGAGAATGGGCCAAAAAGGGCAAAGAGAATTGGGGGGGGGGGGTGCGGTGGGGAAGAAAGAGGGGGGTGCAGAAAAGCAAAGTGATAGGCTGATGTACAGTGTATCCATTTAAATATATGTAGATTGGATACAGTGGAAATGGAGCTGACCCTTCTTATGTCATAATATTTTAGTATTAGAAGGTTGTTATTTCCAAAGGAGAAGTTTCATAGCTGGTCTAAAAACAGTAATGCAAAGCAGGCTGTAACACTGCCATCCTACCATAAATTGGTAGCATTCAAAATTCAGATGTAATTTCTCTAACTTTTCCCTTCACAGATTTGATAGGTATTTCTAACTTTTTTGGATCTGATTTGTTTGAAGATCTGATTTATCTGTATTTCACTTCAGCTGTAAACACCAGCAGGTATGCAGAGAGTTACCGAATCCAGACATATGCAGAATACATTGAGAAAAAGCAGGAGGAGAAACAAACCAAGCGGAAATGGACAGAGGAAAGCTGGCAGGAAGTGGAGAGGAAGAGGCTAAAGACCCAGTATGCCCCACAACCTTACTTTAACCAGATGTTTGATTTCAGCAGGTGAGTACTGCAAAATTGAAAGTAAACTATATATGAAGGTAAATCCACAGTTGCAGGTAGATAGTAAATTCTGCTTTTAACTTTTATTTCATAAGCTTTTCTTAAATCTTTCATTAAATGTGTCAATCAGAGGTATGGGATACTGGATATTTCTTATTTCTGTAAAGTTAAGATGAGAGCCTTCTGTTGCAGCTCTTAAGTTTGTGCATTAAATTAACTTGCAACCTTAAATATTTTAGCTTCCCAACATTTGAATTAAACAGCTTTTGGCACCAAAATGTTACCTTTGGACCCATTGGTAGGAATAGAAAGCCATTAAGGAGAAGAATGGGGCAAAACAAAAGTCAAGTTATGGTGGGTTCAATGATATGCAAACACTTCACAATTAAACATTCAATTGGGAAGTTTTATTTGTAGACAGTTGCACTTTCCCAAGGGATTTCCTGTTTGAGGCATAAGGAACATCAAACTATTCAGCCCATGCAATTTAAGGTTTAAATGTCTAAAAGCACCCATAAATTGCCAATTTGTTATCATTTGAACTTTGTTTCTTGAGATAACGATTTTTAAACTCCATTTTTACCAGCACTTTCACAGCTAGTTTTTAAAATTGCTGACTTAATTTGGAAGGAGAAATGTGAAAATTAGCAAACTGACAAAGTATGGTTGAGAATTCTCGATTTGAGAATATAAGGCTTGGCCAATCTGGATTGAAGAAATGGTTTGCTTTTCAGTATTACTAAACCTTGTGTTCTTTCGCATCATGTTGAGTTCTAATGTTCAGACTCAAGCTAAGGTATTTTTATATTCTCATGTAATACTGTCTGAGCTGGCATTTGAGACAGTAATTGGCACTATAAAGTTTTTTTTATTTCGTTTACATTTGCCTGTGGGATTCATTGCTTAGTTACTGTTAGTCCACATTAAATCCTGGTGTGGTTCTCAAGTTAATTAAGATTCAGAGTCTTTTAATTGCTAGTTTCTCTGCCCAAGCTGTTGCCCTGGGAACAAAGAAATCAGTTATAATGATAGCATGATAGCTTCCATTCTGTCCTGAATGTACTCTGAGCTCAGTGCAAAATGACGTAATGACTTCACATAGCAGCATGCTATTAAGACTGGATTGTTTTATAAATGTGTGGTCCGTGCAGGCAAACCAAGCTGCCAAAGCTTGCTTTTTGTGTATTTGGGAATAGAAGTTTTAAAGCCAAATTTCAACAAACTGAATCGGGTTGAATATACATTTTTTTGGGGGACTGGAAATCCTCTTTTAACAGAGTCCACTATGCAATATCAGGGGGGAGTTCTTTGAGCTTTTTGGAGCTCCTAAATCGTATTGCTCATTGGGCCTTTTAGTTTGTGGAGGTGCCAGAAACCAAGTACCTGACTTATCAACCATTAAAGCCCTACCATTTATCTTCCCAGTGAGAGGGATGTATAATGAGCAGCCAATCCAATATCAGCCATTTTGTATCCTGTTGAAAGTTTTGCCCATTCTGTCTAGTTAATAAATGTAAATGAAGGAGAAACGGAGTTTCAAGTTAGTGCCGAAAACTTTTCCTAACGCTGAGTGAATTAATGAAATGACAGTCACTTGTATAATAAGTGTCTTGTATCTACTCTTTTCAACTGTTCTTTAACTCTCAGCTCAAGCAAATCAAGTTTTCAATCCCAGCTTGCACTTTTGTTGAAATTATCAATCTCTCTCTGTTTCATCCATGTTTCAGCAGTGCCTGTTGTACTTCTCTTCCACTCATTAAGTTGGCACTTGTACCAGTTTTTTTATTTTTAGGTCATCTTGACTAACATGAAACAACTCTGCCATCGCTCAGTATCCACAATCATATATTCAGCTGGTCATGACGATTTCCCTAGAGGTTTATATTATGAAGACAGGTTACGTAGACTTGTATTCCCTCAAGTGTTTTAAGTGTTTATTTAATTGAAATATTGAGGTAATTAAAGGACTGTATAGGGTAGATGGAGAGTAACTAGTTCTTCTGGTAAGAGTGCAAAACAATATAAACTTTAAATTTAAGCATTCCCTTTAAAATTTGAGGAATAATGTTGGGAAAAGCAGCATTTGACAAAGCACTGTTGGAATTTCTAATTCACTGCATCGGCAAAAGTTGAGGTTGGAGTCAATTGGAACTTTCAAAACCTGAAGTTAATAGTTAGAGACCTGAGGTAGGTAGATATAGTTAAGATGTAAATTACCAACCTCCTGTTCCCTCACTTGTCTTTTCATTGTAGACATGCATCTTTCCTCTGCAGCTTTTTGACTATTGTTCCATACCTATCTCTTTAGGAATACCCTGAGGCAAATCATGGGCTAAAAAAACTTTTGCCCTGTTGATTGATTTTTTTTTTTTTTTTTAAATTGTCATGTGTACTGGAATACAGTGAAAAGCTTTGTTTACAAGCGGTACAGGCAGATCATAGTAAACAAAGGATGTGCAGATCAAAAAGACTTGGAGGTATACAGGTTACGTTGCACAGGACGTGCACTAGGAAAGATCAGTGTTAGCAAGATCAGCATTATTTGAGGCTGGACAGTCCATTCTTCAGTCTGATAATAGCTGGGAAGAAGCTGTTCCTGAACTTGCTCATGTGTGTGTTCAGGCTTCTATATCTTCTGCCTGATAAAAGAGGTGGTTGGAGATCAGTACTGGGGTGCGATCAGTCTTTGATGTTAGCAGCCTTTCTGCAGCAGCGAGCCATGTAAATGGAGTCTGTGGATGGAAGGCTGGCTTCTGTGATGGTCTGGGCTGTGTGCACCACCTTCTGTAGTTTCTTACGGTCCTGAGCAGAGCAGTTGCCGTACCAGGCCATTATGTACCCAGACAGTATTCATTCAGTGGTGCATCTGTAGAAGTTGGTGAGGGACCTTTTTATGGATGTGCCAATTTCCTGAGCTGCCTGAGGAAGAAGAGGCATTGTTGTGCCGTCTTGACTGTTGTATCTACGTGGGAAGTCCAGGACAGGTTGTCAGTTATCGTCACTCCGAGGAACTTGATGTTCTTCACCCTCCCAACCTGGGTTACGTTGATGTAGATGGGGACGTGTTCTCCTCCTTTCTTTCTGAAATCCAATGGTCTAAGTGATGTGATTCTGCCAAAGATAATTGTACATACCTTTCTTTAATCCAATTATGCTTTTACATCCTGTGACAATTATCAGTGAATATCGAAGAATTGTATGTACATCTTGAGATGAAAAGTGATACACTTTGCGCCTGTCTGATCCCATTTGGCAGGTGGTACAAGCATGAACCTGTTTTTTGGACTAAATCTGGGGATCATGGTATTTAAAATCCCTAAGCCATTTCTACATACAGATGATCAAAGTTCGAGGAAACCAGCAGCGTACTGGCAAGCGAGAGGAATTTCAGCAGCCAAAGATGGCAGTTGGCACCAGAGAAGGGAGCCTTATTGGCATGTAGGTAATTTTGTAGGAAGTAGGTTAAGAAGCGTTCTTGCAGCACTGAGGTTAAGGCAGGTGCAATTCAGTTTTTTTCTTTCTGGGGCTCAGAGAGTACTCCAGCCTCTAGTTTCAAAGGATTTTAAGTAGTCTTCCATGACTAAACTCTTCAAGGTGGTCAGTAATACCAAACCGACTCCAAGTTTACAGTACCAAAGACGTGGATTTATATCTTAACAGAAATATGAAGATACACACTTTTTAAACATGCTAAAAGGTTAAATGTGTGGCAATAATGAGACAGTCTCGGTGAATTCTGTAAACAAAGTCGCAGCTTCTGAATTGATTAGATTCTGTTGCTTGCATCTTCTGGTACAATGTTCTATATTATTGCAGCATATTTTAATGTGTTTCTCACTGCTCACTGGAAACAAAAATCTTTTATCTGATCAAATTCAGAATGTCCGCAAGTGTTATTTCAAACTCCAGAATTTAACCCTGTTGGTTGTCAGATGGGTATTTCTGTTAGCTCTTCAGGGCTATGGTTGTCTGCTTGGCTCAATTGATAGGCTTCCAATATTGCTTGAGGCAGCTCATACTCGAGTGGTGAAGTGTTGTATTGTTAGAGAGTGTACCCCTTTTCAATATGATATTAAAATGAGGTGTCAGTCACTGCTTCGTCAATGTGGCTATTGATTATCCTATGGCACTATTTGAGAAGAGAAAGAAAGATGTTCTGGTACACTCGCCAACATTCCTTCCTCGAGCAGTAGCATCTAAAAACAGAATGGTTTGTTATTCATATCCTCGCTGTTCATGGAACATTGCTAGTCTTGACAGTTCGCATATGTAAGAAAGACTGAAAATTATTGTGGAAGTGTGGAATGAAACACTGCAAATGCAGTAAAACATGAAATAAAATTGTAAGGAGTCCTAACAATTTTTTTCATGTAGCCATGAAAATTAGTTTACTAATCAAGTTTACTACTTTTGTAAGGAAAAGACAAAATTATCTGGAACTTGTTAATATTAAATAACTGAAAGTAACCACTTTGAGTTTTTAATCAAAACTTAGTCATATTTAAGTGGAATAACTAGTTAACACATTGACACATGCACACAAGCTTTAGTTGCAACAAATGTCATAAATAGTTATTGGTATAGCTTACTTGGGCATCCATTTAAAATAAATGCCACTGGTGTCTAATTGCTTTCCATGAAAACTATTTGCTTTACAAGTAAGGCCATTTCTGTCAGCTAGTGGGACATTTTCATTAAATTAATTTAATGCTGTTCTCCAAAATTAAAACATTTGCAAGTTTTTGCTAAGTTCTGTTTGCATTCTAATTTCAATAAGTTAACTGGCAAACGTTCATTGGGTTAAATAGTTTTTTAAAAATCAACAATATTGCAGCCAACAAATCTTTCAGTTGACTGCCCAGAATGCTGTGCTATGTGGAGACTTGCTAAATAACTTAAATAAGGAAGTGGACATCATTGCTACCCTTTGAATTCCAGGAAGAATACTGTCTAGGGGCGCGTTTCCAGTTTATTGACTTTTCTGACCAGTGGAGACCCAACATTTGGATTTTCACTCACATCACTACAGCATCATTTGATGTGAACTGTACAGTCATTTTCTGTGACTCCAGCAGTACTGCTGAAGCAATGTAGGAATTCGTGTTTTAACTGGCTTAGATACTAAACGTCCAAGCCAGAGACGTTTTTATTTGCCAACTGTGTTTGGAGCACATGAAGCAAGGATTTTTTTATTTTTTTATTTTTTTTTTGTGCATGTTTTTGTGGCATCTGGTAACAGGAATGTTCGTGATACCAATCCAGTTTCCTTCCACAATAAGCAATCACCATCTCAGGATATCCAGAACAACCAGGAGGTGGGCAATACTACACTGGCATAAGCAAATGTATTGAGTGTTGCACTGCTGTTATCATCCTCATTTAAGTGTCTGACACTTACTGTGGAAGATGACATGTTCATAGTCACAAACTGAAGGGTTCACCTATCTATTATGTAAATTTTGAGCAGTTCAGTCAGTTGTCCTGGTGAAGAAACTGATTTGCAATATGGATAACTCTCACATTCTGTCTTCAAATATTAACAAATCCTCATGCTTTGCAGGGTTGGAGAACGCTGTAGGGAATTCCCTGCTACAGGAAAATGGTTTATCTGCACCAATGGGCCCTCCGTCATGAACTAATTCATCAAATTAAGTTACCCCAAAATGGCAGTGCTCTAGAGCAAAAGGTTGCCATGTTTTGTTTTAAAACAAAATGGTTGACCCTTAATTTTTTTTGTTGGAATACACATTACTTTTAATTAAACAGTCTGCTACCTCAGATTATCATAGGAAAAGGGTGACCATTATGTTGTTATCTTATTAACTAAAACAAACTTAGATCTCCTTTTGATCACAATTGGCCATCTTTTCCAATCAACCTGTTCAGAGCTTTTATATGGAGCAGGCCTTCAGGCTCAGAGGTGGAGAGATTACCACTGCACTACAAGACCTCCTCATTGGCCAATTAAATCCTACATTGGCAATATATTTCAGATGAACGGTATTTGTTAGAGTCAGCGTTTTAACAGTTTGGCTATTAAGCAGGTTAGTCTAACTACACAAGGCTCGGGTAGTTTAACACTGTAGCAAAAAAAAGTGTACGTTGTTGTAAAGCTGTAATAAATTACTGAGCTGAAGCAATCAATCTAACTTAGCTTTTCACTTTTCTTTCCATTGCCGAACTCATTAGAGTCACATGACAGCTGTCTGCAAAATTTAATAGGTGAATGAAAAGCATTGCAAAGTTGAATCTTCTGTTTGGCATTGGACACCTATCTGAGATTTGAATCTTGCACCAAATAAACTTATCAAGACCCCATTTTGAGTCTGATTTCTGATGACCTTGATTGTTGTCTTCTTTGTTCCTATTTCAGTTTAGAGAGTTGGTGACTGTTTTGTGAATTAATACCCGAAGAAACTAATCCACATGTTGTGTTATTGAATTGTAAGTCCCAGTGACAATTGTGCTGTATAAATATGCAGTTTTTGTACCAATTCTTTCCAGTATTCTACTGTTGAAATCATTTTGATCAATGCCACACTTTCAGAAATTTTCCAACACAAGCTGAGTGAAGGAAATTATTAGCTTCAAGAACAAATAAGACTAAACACAAAACGTGAAAGTTATCATCAAGCGTACGATGGCATGATGTGTGACCTTTTTTTCCATTCAATTTTAGAACAAGTCCTCTTATGGAAAAAAGAAGTATGAGCCCTATTCAGGAAGAGACAGTATCTGATGAAATGGAAGGGGATGAGGTTACAAGTAAAGATGGTGACAGTCATTATTCGGCTAATGCCTGGATAGACTCTACAATATCGGAAACTAGAAAAATCAAGAAACAGTGGCAGAAAAAGGAGGACCATGGAAAAACTGGTAAATGGATGTATATCTTGAAAATATGAATACGTTCTTCAGCTTTTCAGTTTCAGTGCTTGTAGGTAAAGATACTGATGGGAATAAGTTGTTGGTTGATATCATGCTACTGTTTTAAATGCAAGGTGAGTTCTGTTAATGGATTTTTCTGCCATATGATTATATATGAATGATAAAATGTACATAAATTAAGCTTGGCAAATATTTGCTGCTGAAAAGTAAAAAGATTGGAAAGATGATCGAGTTGACTAAAGTCTTTGCATGCTGTCTTTTTTTTTTCCTATAAAAATGGTCTGAACAGATTACTAAATCACAAAGTAGAACAAAACTTCCAAAACCAAGTGTATCTTGCTTTGTTAGTATAAAGGTGTTCATCTGTGACTTGAGGGAATATGCAGCAGTGACAAGATCTTGAGCTTTGATTTCCCTCTCTAGTTTCGATGTATTCTGTGCCATGATGTTATCCTTTTCCATTGTTACAGTATGTTAACTCCGGAGGGAAAGGTATTCAATTTTTTTATTTTGCATCATAAAGGCTTATAAAATGATTTTAAAGGATAGTTTTCCTGTAACACATATCCAATTATTCTGATGTAGTGCGCACTTTTGGTAGAACATCTAATCGCCTAGAGACTATCATGTGGTTCTAGATGTTTACATCAAATTTGATGTCAAATGAAAGGCAATCATACCGTTTCAGCAGTACCCAGTACTTTCACTGCAGAGAGTAACAGCACCAGGTTCAACATGAATATCTCCAGTTTGTGAAATTAGCTGAGAGTGCAGGACAAATCCTTATGTGACAAGTAACGTGACTCTTTTCTTAAAAAAAAAAAGGCCTAATTTTAGGAAAAAAGCGACAAGGCCCGATGTTGTTGAGCAGCACAAACTGCACCCCACACAGATGTGCCAGGGATGTGAAATTTGCGTGTTTCAGGGCATCCTAATTTGGGTGTTACCCATTTTTATAGAAAGGAATGGGTTGATTGTATGCATGGGCTAAGCATTGACAAACATTGCCACCTCCTGCGTTGTAATTCACATGAGAGGTGTCCATCTTTCTTCAGAAATGTGCTGTGGTATATTTGAAGATTGAATGAGGAGCTAGTGAAGGGAACGCTTCTTGATTATTAAGTGGTCACCACCAACAGACCAAATTCACCATGGTGAATGGCTAATAGGGATGACTTAAATAGAAGATGACACGATATAAAAACCTTGCTCTCCAACTCACTTAATCAAATGAAGCAAAGTAGTACAGACTGAAAATGTGATCAATTGTGTCTAGAACTGCTGCAGAAGACTGCTGGGTGGCGTGGAAACTATCCTTAAGGCTGAAAGTTCAATGGTTATGTTGATAAAACCAAACTGATTGGGATGCCTTGCATTTGATCCAGCCAGAAGACAATGTAGACATTGCAATTAATCTTTCATTCCTTAGTCTACGAAAGAAATGTTTCCACGTTGTTTCTTTTTCAAATCCCAGTACAATGACCCTTTATGAAAAGGGTGCATTGTGTGAAACTAGAATTGGATTAAACAATGTAGCAAGAGGATAGCTTATTAGCATTTGCATTTTGAGTCTGTAAATGAAGAAAGATCACTCGACTAACACTGCGAGAGCTTACCAGAGCCATTCCATCCTTGACAGTAAATGTGGGATTGAAAGGGGCATTAGACTACACAGATGTTTGCTGTAACACCTAGAATTCTTGCCACGTTTCTTGAGAAAAGGCCAAGATTCCCAGCTGAAGTTGAGAAGTCCGATTCTGCCTTGCATATATACATAGTAAGTGGCACTGAGCAATAACACATGCCGTAGCTGGGCGATGTGAATAGGTAGTTAATGCTTTGACATCTGTGACCTTAATAGCCAACATCATAGGATTCATAAATTCAAGAATCGTCAGGCAGTCACTGAATGGATCTATATTGATCTCTCAAAATTCCTTGAATAATCTTTTTTGCTGAATTTTGGAGGTTTCTGTGGACCAAAATTCCACATTAAGGGGTAAGGTTTCTATTGAATTGTTTCAATAGGCTAGTGATCACTCTATTTCCTTGGTTTGGATTGTCCTGAGTTCTGGGCTGCGTATGTGCGGATTGGTGCTTTGGAGGCGGAAATTTCTTTCAGACCCATTTCAATCCTGAAATGGGTGCCATTTAGGCCTGAGTACAGTCTAAAATTGACCCTCTGGCCTAGTTAATATTCTTTTGCACGTTTGGCAACCACTAAAGCTGCCTAAATGGAGCGGACCTGACTAATGTGGTCCACGATATTGGCCATTTTTTTGGACCTGTTTTACATCCATAGAATAATACAGCCAGGTCTGATCTGTACTTTGTGTTTGCATTGATGAGCTACATCTTTTAAATATGTTATAATTGAAAAGGCTGAATTTTTTTTTTCTTCTCCCCCTCCCCAAAGGATTTTGGTTTGATGTTTCATAAGTTCATTATTTAGTTTTGATTCTGTCCTATGAATTTAACTGCATTGAAAGCAGCTGACTTGTATTGTTTCCTTTCAGTAGTGAAAGCGAGCAAACCTAAAACTACCTGGTTGGCAGGCTATCGAGTGCACTTCTTGCTGAATTGCTTTTAAAAGTTCTGTTGCTATCTTGTAGGTAAGGGATCTGCTGAAATTTCCAATTTGACGAAAGCCATGGCAGTCTTATTAAAACTGTCACTTGCAGCAGTGCTCCTCCTTTGGACAAGTGTTGCTGTTGACGTATACTTCAGCTGAGGTATTGAATTTTTGGCAGGTTAGTCCTTGATGCAGATTTTCAGAGCAAATCACAAAAGCCCTCTGTCGAGCAATCCAACAAATGAAATATCAAATACTTTTGGTAGTGATTTTTTTTTTATGTCCTTTTTAATGTCCTTCAAACAGCTTCCTTGTTTTTCTGTTCGTATGTACACCTGGCAAGAAAACCACCATGTGTTCAGTGTGTGTATGTGTATATAAATGTGCGTGCACGCATTTTTTTTTTATATAACGTACATGTAGAGTTTAGTTTTCCCATCTGCACTTTCTCAGATACAGTATATGGGATAGCATTTCCTCTGACAGTAATGGAAAGGAGATGCAATGACTTTGCATCATTTTTTTAAAAAATGTACTTGTATTTGTCATTTCTTCAAATTAAGGTTGGCTCCATCTACATCTGTTCATGTTATTGTGACATTTCTTGCTCTGTTTTCTCAAGATGCATTACTCTGCCACAGTTTGATTTGGCTGCAAACATCTTGAGCAATTTTGAATGTGCCATGGATCCCATATTTTCAAGGGTCACTTGTCTGGGAACTTAACTGGCACTGATTCCTCTCATATATTTTTTTAATTTAGTTCTTTTGTGAAAGAGATCATCTTAAATCATTTTTTTCATACCTTGTACGTCCCAACCAGTTCAGCAAGATTTATTTGGGTTGTGTGACTGTGGACTAGAAGGTAAATCCATGCCACCCCCACCTTTTAGCTGAGAACTTGTTCAACTTAACTATATCCAATGTCAGATGGGACTGCAACTGTCTCACCCTTTTAAATTACTCAAAGCCTGAAATATAATGCCTTAAATTAGTAAGTAATGAATCACCTGTTTTATGTGGATATTTTAAAATGCCCTTATGCTTCTTAGTTCCCAAGCTTATTACAGTGATGTCAGTTTAAAAGTTCTTTTTCCATATAAACTTGCAAATGAAATTGAACTTTCTGTCTTTATTTCAATAGAACAATTAGTTTCTGGCTCAGGTTTAAAACCGGTGTTTAATTTGGATATCTTGAAAACCTGTATTGCATTACAGTGGTGTCAAGTTCACAAAAGTACATTTAGTGCTTCTGGGAAGTTGTGTGTGGAATTCTGTAGTTGTACTTGAACACACTTAATGGAATAATAAATATTTAACAATTTTCATAAATACCTATGAATGCAAATGGATAACTTCCTGGAATTATAAAACTGAAGAATCAAACACTGACTGAAAGATCTTTGTATCACATTGGTTTTCAGCCGAGCAGATGTTCCAAGCTCCAGTCAAAACAAAATATTTAAACAAGCAGCTGTTTGTTGTATGATTTTAGTTCGAGAAATATTCTTGAAACTGGCACACATTGTACAGTGACATTATAATGATGGGTCAATTGATCGTCTTCACTTTATCAAAAGTCTTGTCAAATCTTCTCCAGCATTTGGGTTTAAAGACTTTAATGCCACTGAACCACCATTACAATGGAATTTAAAAGTTGGCTGGTTTTCGATCCGTATGCAAGGTATCACATGCAGGCCAGACCGGTAAGAATGGCAGATGTCCTTCCTTAACAGGCATTAATGAACTAGATGGGTTTTCGCCCCAGTCCACAGTCATTAAGGGCTAGGTTCTCTTTTTTAATTCCAGATTGTCATTCGATTCAGGTTTTGCCAACTGTCGTGGTGGGATTCCAGCTCCTGTCCCCAGAACATCAGCCTGGACACTTGAGTTACTTGTCCAGTGACATTAACACTGCCACTGCTTTCAATAATTTATTAAAGTCAGTGTGCAAGCTGAAAATCTGTAATGCCAAATGAAAAAAGTTGTGTCTCTGGATAAGGATTGAAATCTTCTTCCCTGTGGATTTTGACTTGTTTCGGACTATTTACTATCTCTGAGCCCAATTGTGTATACTAAGCAGGTGAACTAGACTTGTTGACAAGGGGAAATGTTTCTCTGTAGATTATTTGACTTTGGAATCCACTGTCTCAGGTACTGGAGGCAGAATTATTGAATATTTTTTCAGTCAGAAGTGGATGGGTCCTTGTTAGGCAACAGAATCAGAGGTTATGGGGGATAGGTAGGAATGTGTAATTCGACAGAAACTGATCAACCATGACCTTATTGAATGGAGGATCAAGTTTGAAGGATCAAATGGCTTGCTTCTCCTAATTTGTATGTTCATGTTCAATATATATTTTGAATTTTTATAAGACAAACGAGGGCAGGACTTGCACTGTTAATGTAGGGCTGTGAGGAGTGTTATCGAACAGAGACACCAGGGTTGAGGTACATAGTTCCTTGAAAGTGGTATCACAGGTAAACTGGGTTGTGAAGATGATGTTTGGAATGTTTGCTTTCATTGGTCAGAGCATTCAGTACAGGAGTGGAGATGTTATGTTATGGCTATACAAGACATTTGGAGTACTGGTACAGTTCTGGTCGACCTGCCATAGGAAGGATAGTTAAGAAACTGGAAACAGTGCAAAAACAATTTACAAGGATGTTACTGAGACTGGAGGGTTTATGTTACAAGCAGAGGCTGGATAGGCTGGGACTTCTTTCCCTGGAGCATATGTGGCTGAGGGGTGATCGTACATAATCATGAGAGGCATGGATAAGGTGAATAGACAAGGTCTTTTCTCCAGGGTAGGGGAGTTCAAAACTAGAGGGCATAGGTTTAAGATGAGAGAGGAAAGATTTAAAAGGGTTCTAAGGGGCAACTTCCTCACACACAGAATGGTACATGTATGGAATAAGCTGCCAGAGGAACTGGTAGAGGCGAGTACACTCAACATTTCAGTGATATTTGAACAGGAAGATGGGTAGGAAAGGATTAGAGGGCCACAAGCCAAATGCAGGCAAATGGGACTAGTTCAGTTTAAGAAACCTACTCAGCATGGATGAGTAGGGCTTAGGGGCCTGTTTCCGTGCTGTATGACTCTAACAAGCCTAGTTCCATTATAGAGGTCTTTATATCACTGTGTTCACTTCACAATTCAACATACGTTCATGCAAATTACTACCCTGGTTACATTTTATTTCATGTCCAGTCCACCTCTCTCACTGGTATATCTGTTTGCTACAAAATCAAAACACTGGATGAGACCACCTCTGTTTGACCGCAGGCATTAGGTTAATGCACAGAAAATTCATTTATAGAAGCTATGTGGATTATGTTACAATTATGTTTCAGAAAGCAAATTAAAATCAAATTGATGGACCTTAAGTTGACAGCTATCCTGTTTGCCAATACAACAGTAAATGGTTTTGAGCACGTTATCTAAGGAAAGATGTACTGACATTGGAGGCTAGAAGTGAAGGTTCACTAGTCTGCTACCAGGTATAGAGGGGACTGTTTTTACGAGAAGAGGTTGAGTAGATGGGGCCTGTTCTTGGCATATACACGATTCTTAGAGTTGACTGGGTTGATGAAGAAAGACTATTTCCCCTTGTGGGAGAGTCTAGGATTAGAGGGAATAATCTCAGAATAAGGAATTGCACTTTTTTTTTAAACAGATGAAGAGGAGTTTCATCTGAGTTAGTGAATCTGTAGCATTGTTTACCACAGAAAACTGTTGAGGCTAGATCATTAAGTATATTCAAGGCTAAGATAGACCGAATTTTAATCAGTAAGGGAATCTGGTTGGGAGAATGTGGTTATGGGGGAAAAGACAGGAAAGTAGAGTTGAGGATTATCAAATCGCTTGTGATTTTATTGCATGGAGGAGCAGACTTGATGGACTGAATGGCCTGTGTCTACCCGACATGTTATGGTCTTATGTAAAGTTGATGAACACTAGTGTAGTAGTTGTCTGAAATGCTGTGCAATGAAATCAATAACAAGGATCAGTGGAAGTCTTGGCCAAGTGATCTGTGGTCATGATTCAAGAAAAACACAAACCCAAAAGGAAGAAGGTGAATCACCCAATGTCATGTCTGAATATTAAGTGTGTAGTTCGTAGTGATGATGACTCGAGCCTGCTTCTGTGCATCTCTTCTCCCCTTCCCCAGTGTGTTTTGCCTCAATGAGGGTGGGAACACTGAAGGCTAACTCTAAACAACACTGATATTAGAGTTATTTGCCTAGATTTCTTCGTGAGGCTTGTTTTTTTGAAAGTAGTTTATGCTTGTTTATTGTATTCGTTATTTCTCTGTCACACTGTAGCTAACTTTTATTCACCATGAGCATATTTTCAAATTTGTATTGATATGAATAATGTGTATTCTTGTGAGGAAACGTTCAGGTCATTTTAAAAATATTCAAACTGTTTCTGAAGTTTTAAAGATGTTGAGTTCAGCGGTAAAGAGCTCGTCAGTAAATACAAAATTCTGTTACTGTGTTTCAGGAGAGGAATGTGCCAAGTGGACTAGGGCTGATTCAGCTAGATGAGAAAAAGATTTGGGGATTTTTATTGGACTTTTCACAATCCCAGGAAATCCTGAAGTGCTTTACAGGCGATGAAAAACTTTTTGAAATGCAGTCACTAGACCATTTGCCATCAGCAAGGTCCCACAAACAGAAATATGTTGAAAACCAACAAATCTCTTTCAGTGATTTTGTTTTGAGGGATAAACATTGGTCCATATATAAGGGACAGCATTCTCTGAAAAATGCTAGAAGTCTTAATGTCCACCTGAGAGGGCAGATGGAACATTGTTCAAAATATCACATCTCTGACAGTGCAGCACTCCCTTGTTACAGACCTCGAGTCTGAGCCTAAATTACATACTGTAGTCTCTACCTTGAATCTGTAACCTTTTGAACTTGCTGGTGAGAGTACTGCCAACTGAGCCATGACAAATACCTCTGCTCTGGTTTTAATCCTGGATGTGTTTTGCCAATTATTCTCAATTCACAGAGCAGTGGCAGTAATGCTGTTGATGACGTCTTTCCTGCGCCAGAGAAGTCCTGAGATCACTGCCATAATTGTATCAGAGGATGACACTGCAATGTGCACGATTGGTTTTAGCTGCAGGGGTCAACTATCCTATACAGCCACTTGTAAAACAAGTAGTGTCCTCAGGCAGGATGCTGGAGGTCTCTTGATTTTTATTTGCAATCATGTTCTTGTGTATCAATGTTTTCAAAGCTGGAGAATTAATAGGAAATTGAAGCAGAGGTGGGGTGTGGTGAATGAATGTGACCCAGAGTAATGGACTTTTGTCTTTTGGTTTGCTTGGTAATTATTTGAAACATTGCCAGTGTATCTATAATTGCTATAAGCTACCAAGATAGGCCTTTCCTAGTCCTTAGCACAAGTGTTGGCATTTTGGCAGTGTTTGTGATTGTCTAAAATGTAAAGTAATAGTCCATTTACATGCAATAAATTAGAGTTGCATGGAAAGTTTATTTGTTTGGATGTGTAAGGGCCTGAAACATGTAATATAAGGATGGCAACACCCTGTACAGTTTTTTGTTCTATTTGCTCATGAATCGTATTGTGGCATTTTAGTCTGTTTGCCACTGTTTAGAACAACATATTTAACTAGCAGAGATTTCCTAACACAGATGTTCTACTGCATGCAAACCTTTATCTTTATTTGTTTTTGAATAGGAAGCAGTGCAAATTCACAGGCCACATTGTTTGAAGTCCCAGATACATGGTGACATGAAACACACATGGGATGAACAGTGGTATCTTCCAGATAAGTGACCAGATGCAACACTTGCAAGCCATACTGATCCGAGAGCTCCAATCTTCATGTGGTACAAGACAACTTTAAAAAAAATCTTTGTGTAGAAAGTTTTAACTGTACAAACACAAGCCAATGTCATATTAAATGTTTTACTCAGTTTATTTTGTGTTGTTAAGAAGGAGATGGGATTTGACTTGCATTTCAAATCTTCTATCAATGTCGACAGTTTTATGGGTTACATGCATTTCAAGCTAGTCCTGTACCACTGATGGCTTAGAGCAGCAGCCAATACTGGAAGTTGCCTTGTGCCAGCAACATGAAATGTTTATTTCGGATTGTAAAACAATATAATCGTTGTTCAGCACTGTAATTTTATATAAATATATATATATTATATATATATATACCTGTGTGTGCGCGCGCGTGTGTATTACATCAGCTGTATTTCCGGTGAATCCAATGACTCATTATCAGTAATGTGGTCTGACTTCAACGTTCAGGTCATGTATTTTTTTAAGGTAGTATCAAAACATTGTCACTGTCTTTGCAGTAAGGATAGTGACGGTGTATTTGAGCGATCCTTTCATTTGTGTTATCTGGTGTGGACTGTACTGAGCTTTCAGCCTTGTATGTCGAAAGATGCATTGTGCACCAGCCTTTATTTGTATGTATGAATGTGTGTATGTATGTGTGCAAAAGAGACTTGTTTACTTTTTTTGGGCAGTGGTGAGTTTTGTATCATATTTAAAGTTTTTTGTATCATGAAGAAAATTGAAATTTCATGAAGGAAAATTAAAGACAACTTTCTTACTACAAGTGACAACTCTTTATTTGTTTAAATGTCTCTGCTTGTGACGAATGTTCAGAAGCAACCATGTAAAAGTGTATACAGTTTTGAGATGTAGACAAGATGCCTTCACTTGTGGGCAAGACCAGAACCAGGGATCATAAATGTAAGATAGACAGATACTAATTAGTCCAAAGGGGATTTGAGGGGAAACATCTTTACCCTTTTTTATATGTAAGCAGCTATCACATTCTCATCATTCTCTTAGTAATTGAGGCAGCTAACATAGATGTATCCAAGGAGAAGCTCAATAAACATGAGGAAGAAAGGAACAGAAGAATATGTCAATGAGGTTAAATGAATAAAGTGAGGAAGAGTTTTGTGTAAAAGCATAAGTTCTGTCATGGACAAGTTGAGCTAAACAGCATGTACTTTGTTTCAATAAAAAAAATTCAACATATTTTCCTTAAAGTAGTTTAAAGTGTCAGTAAAACCAGGAATTGTTTGAAATTGCCTTCCAGTCTGGCAGGTTCTATGGCAAAAGAATGAGTACCAATTAGAAGCATTAACTTTATTTCACATTTCCAGCATCTGCAGTTTTGGTGTTCCAAGTGTTTCATCTATTCTGTATTCACTATTCAGAATCATTCCACACATTTGATTTTTCACAAATCAGTTTGTTTGGGGTATCTGCAGCTCATTGCTGTCCAAGTCATCAACCCGTGCATTGCGTGGGAGAGGACAGGCAAAGTAGAATCACAGTTTTTATCAGCTGCAGCTGCAATACCACAAGGTAACAGTGCTCACTTTTCACCCCAACGCCATATCTGAAAAAATAATATATTGTCATGTGTGCTTTCATTTTAAGCAAGTACAATGCATATCATGAAAATGCACTGCCAGTCCCATGTTTATGGCCTTCAGATCAGTTTGTTTGTAAACCAATTAAATGGAGTGTATCATTCTACACTGCAGTTCATATTCATGGTTTCCAACTTGGACTTTAGGAAAATATTAATGTGTTAATTAGAAGTTGCAATGTGGCTAAAGGTCAAAATAACCCTGAAAAGATGTCTCCATGGATGGTTAGTGAGGATAGCTAGGCACTCTCCTTACTCAAAGTACTCCAGATTAACTGGTACTAAGGGGATTAAATTCAGTGTCAAACAATTTTTAATGGAAATTAAGTAATTGAACTGATTTTTACTGTGTAGACCTTTTAACAATGTTAATCTGTCTGAATTTCATTGATACTGCGAATCTACCTTATTTGCTCATATCAACAAAAAATGTTTTGAATACAGAATTATAAAATCAGAATCTGTAAAAGATAAACTGCAACCAACTTTTAAAACCATGGACTGGTATTTGTATGGAAATACTAGTCTTTTTGCAAGTTTAAATCTTGCCACAAAGATTTACTCTGAAGCTAAGTGTACGCTTTGCAAAAAATTTTTGATCCATTTAATGACATTTCAAATCTTTCATAGTATAAGATGTTTTTGTCATGCATTTTGTGCATACTAAGGAGTGTTTGCCCTCCATATTTACTGTTTGAGGTGACAGTAAAATTTTGCATTATTTTAGTTTCTTGTCTTTATTTTGGAAAACGTGTGCGAACTTGTCTTTTGTGCAGCAATGTTGTCCAATACATGAGCGATTTGCCAAATATGACAGACTGATGCTTTTCATCAGATGAACTATTTCATTCAGATGGATGTTAGGATTCTGCAGCAGTCTATTTCAGAGAGGCCACGGTTTCAGCCTGTCTGACCAAAATCTGTAACCATGTCAAAAGTAAGTGGAAAATCCTGCAGGAGGAACATTCAAAAAAAACTGTAGCCTGTCTCCATTTCAAGAAGCAAAAATATATTGGTTTGCTTGTTACACCTTAACTGGATGCTGTGTAGTGATTAGTTGCTAACAAAAATTTCTTTCTTTTGATGGAGCTGCATTCAACTGCTGTACTCCCTTTGTCCTGTCCCTCAGTCCCAATTCAACTCTGGGAGGTTGTTACAAGATTCACTCTGTCTTTTGTATCAAGCGGCACGTACAATGATCTGGTCACCACAAGTTTGGTGAGCATCAAAGTCCTATTGGACAGTACTGTTGTGGAGAAACTAGGAAGAGAACCATAGCTGTGTAAAGAAATAAAAATTGCAGAGTCTGAACATTCAACAGAATGCAAAAATTTAATTTTGATATGTCTAAACACTTGAAAATTGTTACTGTTACAATGCTGGTCAATCAGTTGTAGGAGGACTAATGCCTTTTGTTATTCCTGATTTGAATCAAAATGCTTGCTTCAGGGGTCATTTGTTAAAGTGGCTGTCAGGCAGTTGTTGGTAAGTATTGACAGCTGTTTGACAGTTGCTTAATATTTTCTCACCTAAAATAAACTGTTTAAGCTCTGAGATATGTCTGGGTACCACGAGTTATGTCAGCGTTCATCACACTAACTCTGCCTATTGGGATTCATTCATAACTGATATGTTGCTAGCTTTTGTGGATTGACAGGAAAGTATTAATTGGGCCACATGACTGGGCACCAGATTAAAGATTGTAACAGATTAAAACGTTAGCTTCCCACTTCCTGTTTATGATGCTTTCATTTGAATTTTTTTTTGTTGTATTTCTATTTTGTTCTTTTGAGCAGTTTTCCTTCACCCTTTTCATTGTGAAAATCACAAATGTGTATTGTGCATTAAATTCAGAATTTATTTTGTGCATTAGTGTACTGATTAGCTTTGCTGAAGTTAAATAGATAAGTGATTTGGAAATGTTGTAGTCTTGATTGAAAGGCAATAGCATTCCTTTTGTCACATTTAAAAATGGAAGTTCTGTTCTCTACCACATTGGGAATATGCTAGCTGTAGAATGAAGATCATCTGCTTCAGATCATCACTTAGTTCAGCTCTGATTCAATCTGGTGAAAATTTTTGACTACAAGTCTGTCAGCTGTTTAGATTTCAATGGAGATCATTGAAAGAGAATGAAATGGCTGCATGTAATGACAACAATTCTTCTGGCCAGAATGAAGAAGACTGATTAATATTTTCCTCCACCAGTCTTACCGGGAGACTGCATTATAAGTGACTAGAATTGAATTTACAGTATACACAGAACTTGAGTAAAGTATCTATCCTCTACTCAGTATATTTTGGTATTTCACATCCTCTCTGCCAAAAGTTGCCAACTGCTGCAGCATCATGCATGATAAACAGCATGATTTCTATATCTTAAGCCTACTGATGTCTTTTACCGTGCCTCTTGCTCTCCACTACAAAATCGTGAAGAATTCCACTATCTTGTCTGTAGTTAACTCCATGTCTGCAGTTGCTTTGGCTACTTCCTCCCTTTCCTCATCTTGCTGCTTACACTTTCCACACCATCTCGAACTTCCATTTTTCTCAAAAGGGTCTGTGTGGGATGTAGTAATCAAGTCAGTTTTATGTCTATCTTAGCAAAATTCCCTGATCCTCCTCATCTGCCTCCCTTTCCCACAGAACCAAAATGGATCAAGTTTTTAAAAAAAAAATAAAAATTATAAATTACATATGAGGGACCATAATCTATCATCCTTTCATGGACTGAATTTTATCAGCCCTTCAAAGATGGGATGAGGAGAAGGAGGAGGCTGGTAAAATGGTATGAAGAGGTGATGGGTAGCATACCTCTTATCTTCCTGACTCCATGCCATTTTAGCAGCAGCAGCAGGAAAGATGTCAGATGGCCCAGCTGGCCAGAGCTTAGTGAATCCACTTAAATGGTCATTTATGGGCCTCTTCCATCATTTGCAAAGAGGGTCCTGCCTTGCATAAGAAGGCTATCAGATAAAACCCAGCTGTTTCCCACTCAGCTACTGCTGGATGGAACATGGGGAAGACTACTAAGAGGTCCCACTCGGTATAATAGTTACCTGTCCTCAGCAACTACCCCCTATCCCGTTTGCGAGGGCCTGCCAGACTGGTGCCTCTACCCACCAGACCGTAACTTACTTTTTGGAAGCCATCTGATTGGGCTGGCAGCTCTTTGGTCCTGATGCCACTGATCAACACACCCACTCTGTCATTGATCCACAGCACCACCACCACCACCAACCCCACCTCCCTGCCCCCGCCCAACAAACCTTTCAGCCTGTTAATGAAACCACTCCAAGTACTACACATTGGCCCCTTTCTCCTCCTTATAAACCTCTTGATCTTCCTGACATTGAATCTAAGTATAGCTTCCAGATGTATCCAGTTGAAGGTCAAGTGTCTGTTTTTCACAATACACTTTTTTAAAAATAAAAAACCTATTTTTAGTCCTGTCTCTCTGTCCACTTGTGCCTTAGGAGTTAGCTTCTTGTTAAGTTACCTCTGGGCCAGAACCAGAATTTCATGGGTTATAAGAAGAAAATGTATCCAGCGCTTTTAGAGCTGCTGTCGGTGTTGCCTGGCTGGAGAGAGAATTTTTAACTAATACAAGCAACCAAGCTGGGAATTGACACAAATGGCCTTACTTGGATGAAGGCAGACTTGAATGATTGATGAGACTTAGACAGGAGATGCTGACGAGGCCTGCACATTGCTGGGAATCCTCACAGGATTAAGATCTTAGTTACTCCTGAACTACAGACATAAGTAGGCTAATTTAAAATGACATTTTCTCTAATAATTCCATCTTTACACTGCATTACTGGTGTTGGGTAATTACATTTTGTATTGTGGATAGTGAGCAATAACATCAGTACTGGCCCTGGGTTTAGACTGCTTTAACAGCTGGTTGGTTCCATTCACTGATATGAATATACTGTTCAACCTAGATCTTTGATTTTGAGTGTTGAACACTCCACCTTACCCTCAGTCTTAAGGGCTATAACTGATGCTTGCCACTACTTCTCCAGAACTATTAGGGATGAACAATAAATACTGGTCTTGCCTGTGATACTTGCATCCCATTTTTTTTTAAAAAAGGTTGTTAAACCTAGTGTGCACGTTGTTATGTCACCTTATCGGAAGGGTGCAATATAGACTTGCCTATC